CTGGATATCCTGAAGCTGCCATACCAGTCCTGGACTCCCTATTTCTGACTTCTTGTAATACAAAAAAAAAAAAGTAAATAAGTGAAACTCCCACTAATTTGTTTAGCACAGTCTATAAATCTATTTCCTCATCAAAAAAAAAAAGGAAAGAATAATAGAAACCTATTTATAGAAACCTGACATTTTAAAAAAATAAAAAAATTAAAATTAAAAAATAAAATAAAATAAAATAAAATAATTTTTAAAATTAAAAAAAAAAAGAGAAAGAAACCTGACATTTAAGTGCTCAATAGATGTTAGCTATCATGATCAAGATTATTCCATGGGGTGCCTGGGTGGCTCAGGCAGTTAAGCATCTGTCTTCAGCTAAGGTCATGATCCCAGGATAGTAGGATCAAGCCCCACAATCAGGCTCCCTGCTCCTCGGGGAGTCTGCTTCTCCCCCTCCCTTTGCCTCTGCCTGCCAGTCCCCATGCTTGTGTTTTCTCTCTGTCAAATGAATAAATATTTTTTAAAAAAAAGATTACTCCAGGCTTCTGTAACTGGCAATTGAATCCAATTTATAATTGATACAGCAACCACTAAAAACTATATTTATGGGGCACCTGGTAGCTCAGTTGGTTAAACATCTGACTCTTGATTTCAGCTCAGGTCATAATCTCAGGGTCCTGAGACCTGCTGGGCTCCACACTGAGTGCTGAGTCTGTTTGAGATTCTCTCTTCCTCTCCCTCTCCCCTTGCTTGCTCACTCTTTCTCTCAAATACATCTTTATTTTTTTTTATAGATTTATTTATTCATTCATTCATGAGAGAGAGAGAGAGGAGAGAGGAGAGAGGCAGAGACACAGGCAGAGGGAGAACCAGGCTCCATGCAGGGAGCCCAACGTGGGACTCGATCCTGGGTCTGCAGGATCAGGCCCTGGGCTGAAGGTGGTGCTAAACCACTGAGCCACCTGGGCTTCCCCTCAAATAAATATTTAAAGAGAAACATATTTATTTTTATTTTTTTTGAGAAACATATTTATTAAAATCATTTAACAGGGAAGATATTTATAAAATAGGATATGAAATATTTAGTGGGAAAAAACACATTATGAAACTGTATATATAGTACGACTCCAATTTTAAGAATTACGGAAATGCATGAAAATGCATAAAGGTTTAGTAGTAATTAGTCCTGAGCAGTAGGATCACAGGTGATATTTGTTTTCTTTAGAGTTTTATTTCCAAAATTTTTAAAATAAACACTGGAAATTGATAATTAAGGAAAATGTTATTTTAAGATATTAAAATGAGGCCAAGATAGAACAAATGATTTTACCTTAAGCAAATTCTTTTTTTTTTTTTTTTTTTTTTTACTTATTTATTCATGATAGACACAGAGAGAGGGGCAGAGACACAGGCAGAGGGAGAAGCAGCCCCACACAGTTAGCCCAACACACGACTCGATCCCGGATCTCCAGAATCAGACCCTGGGCTGAAGGCAGCACTAAACCCACTGAGCCACCCGGGCTGCCCACCTTAAGCAAATTCAAGCTAGCAATCTATGTGCTATTATAGCATCTAAGGAATATAATGAACAAATATGTGCATTCATAGTGAATTCACCCACACAGCAGACCTAACTAGTGAGAGCCAGAGGTTAAAAGAACCTGAACACTAGTAAACTGATAATGTGGAATATGATTATGTGCTGCAAAGTTTCCAACCCATAAGAAAGGAATGTCTAAGCTAAGTCCTCCTCAGTCCAGGGAACTTGGCCTGTTGCCTACACATTAGTGACAAGCCTTACAGGAAACATCAGGCATGTCTTATTAAATAAATTTTAAAAGCATGCTTTTTATTGATTTTTTGCCCATGGACACAGAGACCCCGTGCTGAGCACTGTCTATGACAATTGCCTGAATTAAAGGGTTGTACCAGTAAAATGAATCAGGCTTTGGTTCTGCTTAAGGAGACAGGCTCATAATTCCAAGGTATTAACACAAAATTTGTACCTGTGAGTCTCTCTCTAGCAAGTAGCACAGCTCACTCAAGCATGATGTCTGTGCTATGGCCCATAAATCAAAAAGAAAAAAAAAAAGCTGTTTCAGGATCAAGGAAATTCATAGTTGTATATTTTACATTTTGGTCCTATTTCTGTGGTTCTGAGAATACTAAGGAAAGTGGTTTTCCGACATAAATCCCAATGAAACATAATTTCTTCAAGAATAGGTACAGTACCAAGAGACTATTATAGAACATTTGGCCTTTGGAAAAATAACCAGTCCTGGCATTGTGCTCAGAGTGAAATGTGGTGCTCTTAGCCACACTGGCCAGCGCTTTGATGCGGGAGCATTGTACTTCCACAGTTCCTTGGTGTATCTTTCTTCTCCCCAACCTGCAGCACATCCACAGTTTGCTCAACTGCCCAACTTCATCTCCAGCTGGCTAAAAGATGCTTGCTTTTTCTATTTTCCCCCAATATCATCTTTTTCAAGGCTCTGGGATCCTAGAGCACAAAAGATCGAAGGGGCATCTGAGAATGCGAAGCAGAAAGCAACTCCACTTAGTAAATATTTGTACCTCACTTGTTCTTATGATTTCTCAACCATTATGAGTAATAGCAGTAATTGCTAACATTTATAACAGACTCCATGGGCATGCCACCTGGGCAGGTTACATGGGGCTCCACACTCAAAACAACCCTGAACTTGGCGTAGTGCCCTTGTCATCTTAACAATTTTTGAAGATTTTCATTTTGCACTGGGCTCCAGAGATTATGTAGCCAATCCTTTTTTTTTTTTTTTTAAGATTTTATTTATTTATTCATAGACACACAGAGAGAGGCAGAGACACAGGCAGAGGGAGAAGCAGGCTCCATGCAGGGAACCCGACGCGGGACTTGACCCTGGGTCCCCGGGATCACACCCTGGGCTGAAGGCGGCACCAAACCGCTGCACCACTGGTGCTGCCCCTATGTAGCCAATCCTATTGACATTTATAGGGCAAGGGCACCTGGGTGGCTCAGTGGTTGAGCATCTATCTGCCTTTGGCTCAGTTTGTGATCCTGGGGTCTGGAGACAGAGTCCCACATCAGGCTCCCTGCAGGGAGCCTGCTTCTCCCTCTGCCTGTGTCTCTGCCTCTGTGTCTCTCATGAATAAATAAAATCTTAAAAAAAATTATAGGGCAGACTGTTTATAAACCTTTACACATATAAAACTGAATGGACGGCGTACCTATGTAAATTTCCTCTATCTCAAGATAATGTACAAAAGACTGTTTTCCAGCCACTAAAAAATGTTTAATTCTAGAGAGGGGAGTGCTCAGCAAGACCTTCCTACACAACCTACACAACCCTCTGTCTTTAAAAAAAATTTTTTTTGAACTTTCACATTACCATTTCATATCACAAATCTTAAATTACTGCAGTTATTTGCTTATTTTCTATAAAAACATAAATTCCACGTTTTTCATCACTGTATTTCCAGCATCTAGCACAACGTCTGACACATTACAGGTAATTAATAAATGTTTTCTTTTTTTTAAATTTTTATTTATTTATGATAGTCACACAGAGAGAGAGAGAGGCAGAGACACAGGCAGAGGGAGAAGCAGGCTCCATGCACCAGGAGCCCGACGTGGGATTCGATCCCGGGTCTCCAGGATCGCGCCCTGGGCCAAAGGCAGGCGCTAAACCGGTGCGCCACCCAGGGATCCCCAATAAATGTTTTCATAAATTGTGTCCAAAGCTTCTTGGAAAATGTAAAATGTAGAAAAATAATAGCTCTGCTACAGAGCACAACAGACCATCACCACCCATGTCAAGTCATGTAATTGCTTTGGGTGCTGATTGATGCAAAAATAATGCTTTTTGTGGCCTTTTGTAAAGTAAAAGCTCATTTAATTAAACAGTACTTGAGTCCCTGCTAATCTGCTTTGCAAAGTGCTACCTGCTACATGCCAGAGGCATTTTAATAGGTTATCCCACATCTCCCAAAATTGAATCTGGTAGAGCAGGGAATGGTTCTCAATCTGTGGTCTGGGAAGGGTCCCTAGAACCCCTTCAAAGAGTTAAAACCACAGTAAACATTGTCTTTTTCATGCGCAGTCTCTCACAAATACATAGTGGAGCTGCTGGGAGGCTACAGGATGTGTGATGAGGGGGTGTGTGGAATGTGTGCTTGCGTGTTCCTGCGTCCTAAAACTTTCTCCATTTTAAATTCTAGCTCAGTAAATATTAACACCTACAACCCGCATAAACAGAACTCTTTGGCATTTTCCGTAATTTCTAAGAGCATGAAGAGGTTCTGAGACCCAAAAGATGGAAGGACCCCTGCAACACAGGCCATTAAGCAACAACAACAAAATAGCTGTGGATGACAGTGGAGATGAAGATGTGAGATTTGCATCGCATTGCAATCCAAAGGTTGAGAGCGGCCTAGTCGGGAGGAAAGAGGCTGGAGAGGTGGAGGAAATGATGGAGAAGGGGGCAACCCGGGGCACGGGTCCTCAGGGAGTGCGCCCACGACGTGCAGAGAGCTGTGCGGAGGCAGCCCCCCCCCCTCCACGGGGACATACATCCCGTTCCCTTGCAGGTCAGCGATGTCATAAAAGCTAAGGCATAACTTGGACCAGACAGGAAATCGTACGGCAGTCTCTTCGATTTCTAATTTTTTAAATTGTCAGGTTAGCAAAAACTGTAAACTTCGGGCGTAGGGGGTTAAAACCTCTGCTTCCTGACTTGCAAGGGGAGGAAGGGAGGGGAAACCGGTGCAAGGCAGAAAAGGGCGGGAAAATAAAGCACGAAGAAAAAAAAAAAAGAAAGAGCGGGCTTGGGGGAGAGGGAGGAGGCCGCGCAAGAAGCCAATGAATGAGAGCGAGGCTGCGGCACGTATCCACCCCCCGCCCCCGCCGCCCGCCTGCGCAGGCGCACGCCCCGTGATCTCGCGGGAAAGAGCCGTTGCCGGTCCCGGCGTCGAGCCCAGGTGGCGAGGGGAGGGGGTGGAGGTGGGAGTGAAGTCTCGCGAGAAGAGGCGGTTTCGTAGCGGAGCCCTCGGGCTGAGTGTCTGAGGATCTACCGCCGGATCCGCGGACGGTTTCCTGAGCCCGTTAGTGCCCCTGCCGAGACTCACGTCGCCGTCATGTCCCGCTACCTGCGCCCCCCCAACACGTCTCTGTTCGTAAGGAACGTGGCCGACGACACCAGGTGTGTACAGGGGAGGGGCTCTGGGCCTACCCGGGGAGGCCGCGGGCGCTTGGGGAGGACTCGTGCGGCGGCGGCGGCGCGCTGGTCCGGGGGAGGGGAAGGCGAAGATGGCGGGTCCCGCGCGGGCTTTCAGGCCCCGGCTAGGCCGCGCCGCCGCCTCACCCGCCGCGTGGGAGCGAGGGCGGCGCCCGGGTCCTCCCAGGCCGCGGGAGGGGGGGAATTGGGGGAGGAACGCGGGCCGCGGGGGGGGGGCAGTTACGGGGGGAACGCGGGCCGCGGGGGGGGGCGGTTACGGGGGGAACGCGGGCCGCGGGGGGGGGGCGGTTACGGGGGGCAACGCGGGCCGCGGGGGGGGGCGGTTACGGGGGGCAACGCGGGCCGCGGGGGGGGGCGGTTACGGGGGGAACGCGGGCCGCGGGGGGGGGGCGGTTACGGGGGGCAACGCGGGCCGCGGGGGGGGGCGGTTACGGGGGGCAACGCGGGCCGCGGGGGGGGGGCGGTTACGGGGGGAACGCGGGCCGCGGGGGGGGCGGTTACGGGGGGAACGCGGGCCGCGGGGGGGGGCGGTTGCGGGGGGGGCGGTTACGGGGGGCAACGCGGGCCGCGGGGGGGGCGGTTACGGGGGGCAACGCGGGCCGCGGGGGGGGCGGTTACGGGGGGAACGCGGGCCGCGGGGGGGGCGGTTACGGGGGCCAACGCGGGCCGCGGGGGGGCGGTTACGGGGGCCAACGCGGGCCGTGGGGGGGGGCGGTTACGGGGGCCAACGCGGGCCGCGGGGGGGGGGCGGTTACGGGGGCCAACGCGGGCCGCGGGGGGGGGGCGGTTACGGGGGGAACGCGGGCCGCGGGGGGGGCGGTTACGGGGGCCAACGCGGGCCGCGGGGGGGCGGTTACGGGGGCCAACGCGGGCCGCGGGGGGGGGCGGTTACGGGGGGAACGCGGGCCGCGGGGGGGCGGTTACGGGGGGAACGCGGGCCGCGGGGGGTTGGGGGGAACGCAGGCCGCGTGGCGGGGTTTCGGTCTCCCCTCCCCCCTTGCACTCGGGAGCCCCTTCTTCCCGGCGTCTCGGTGCGCCCAGCCCCCGCCGCGGCCGAACGCCCGCTCTCCGCATTGATCTGAAGTTCACGTTCTTTGGGGTACACGCCCCCTCGGCCCAAGGGGGGGGGGTGTTTTTTTGTTTTGTTTTTGGTAGTTAAAAAATTGCAGCGAAATAACGGGATCGGGGGAGGGGCACGTACGGCGAAGCATTCGCAACCCTTTTTTTGTTGTTGTGTTGTACTTCTGATTTTGAAAATGTTGGAGAGGTTTGGAGAACGGGAATGTTGGAAATGGGAAGATAAATTATTCCAATTAGACGGTGCGAACTAGTTCTTCCCATCTGCCGGAAATAACCGGTCGCCCCTTTGAGAAGTGAGGTTTAGGACGTTGTAAAACTAAAATTGGATTAATCCGGCTTTGTTCTCCCCAATTCCCTTAATTGCTTGTAGTTGCCATCAGAATTTTTTTTGAAAGAGGTCTCATCAGTAAAAGATATGTTAGGTTTCACAATCGCCCTAATCCCTGAAAAGGCAAATTTATTTTGGTACCCCTGTATGGCTTATATTTTTCTGTCCTAACTTTAGGCAGGAAAGTAAACTGTGTCCTAGAGTCTAGAATATTTTTCCCTTATGTCATTTTGACCTTTATGATTTGAGGAGTTACATATATTTGTGACTTTTCAAACCTTTATCTCCTATTAAGTGTCTAACCCTGTCGCTAAAATTTTCATATGAAAGTGCTTGATGTGTTTCGGAGTACTAGTATTGGTTTGGTACTTTAAAAGAGAAACATTAGAAATACGTAGAATCTAATGCTACTGTGCCTTTTATGAAAAATTAAAGATGTGGTTAGAAACAGATAAATTGTGACCAGGTTTCCTTAGGTGCCTTTTCCTGTTCCTGTAAAATAGTAATAGACTATTACAAACTGCATTGTCTTCCAAAGATCTTGGATCTTAGCGTTCCTTTTTCAAAAAAGAGAGATTGCCTGTATTTTTTTATGCACTTAAAGTTGCCTCTTGATGTTGAGATTTAGAAAGCAAACGGTCACCCAGGGATACGGCACAATCCCTTTCATTTATTCAGATTACAGAAAGATAGCTATTTCTTACAAATTTTTTTAAAGAAGTGAAAATAAAAACTGGGGGTCTTTTTATGATGTTTTAGGTCTGAAGATTTACGACGAGAATTTGGTCGTTATGGTCCTATAGTTGATGTGTATGTTCCACTTGATTTCTACACACGCCGTCCAAGAGGATTTGCTTATGTTCAATATCCTTTCTTCAGATGGCTGATTAGTGAGGGGTGTTGGAGTTTGAAATTCAAGTTTATGTAAGAGGTAACATCTAAAAAGTAGTTTACTTTTGTCCTCTAATGTTTTATGTCTTCAAATTTTTGAAAATTAATTCTGACTCACACATTGCTCTTAACTATCTCTTAAAGTTAATCCAAAAACAGTAAAATATTTAAATTCCCATTCATGCTGCTGAAACTCAAATCAATGATTATAGTATGTGATTTAAATTTGAATACACTCTGGTTGCTACCACCTATAATGTAAGTCAAATTAAAAGTTAATATGTTCTTGTGCTTAGCAATTAAAGTTTGGTATTGTCTGTTAATTTGAATCACTTGATCAAAAACAAATTGTATAACAATGAGGTAAACTTCTTTAATATTGTCCCCTAATTTGCTGTCCTCTGTTGTTACCTCAGAGAATGTAAAGCTGTACAGTTATGGCGACCCCAAAGAGAAAGCATGAAAGAACCTTTAGAGTAGAGTTCAACACTTAAGGCAAGTAGACAAGCCAAAGACCTCTTAAGGATCAGGCTTGAAGAGAAGGGAGAGTTTGGGAAAAGAAAAAATAAAGAAAAGCTGGAAGAAGGACAAGCCTAATGGGAGACAAAGCCTCGCTTTATCTACAAAAGGGGGAAAAGGTTGTTTTTCAAAGTTAAAGATAAAGCCATCTGTCATATTTGGCCAAGCATCTCATGACAAGTCCTTCTGACAAGCACTTAAAGAGTTAAAGGTCAAGATGAAGTTGAATGATGGCCAAGATTAAAGGAGTCATACCTGATGTATCCTACAGAATAACTTTTCCTTTTTTTTTTTTTTTTTTTTTAATGTTTTGTAAGCAGTTAATTTTCAAAACTATTCTGGTTTGGTCTAGTGACAAAACCTGTAACTTGATTTATGTGGGCCTTGATGTTGTGATTGTGGTCTTGTATAAATGCACTTTCTCTTAGCTTGTCAAGTTAAAGTGTACCAGGATGTAATGTTGTTAAGTTTAAACTCAGCATATTTCTCTTTTGGACCAGATGGTCAGATCCCATAGGGTAGTAGACAGTGCTCTTTGGAGTAGCATGAGGTTCTACAGTCAAGCCGACTCCACAGAGTCGTGCTTAAAATGAGAGACAGATGCTAGCACTGGGAACTACTTAGAAACAATTCTGGTAGTCTTGTAAGGTCAAATCCACTGGAGATAATACCTGTTTATAGATTTTAAAGTGGCTGGGGTGGGGGGTGGGTGCACATACATACTCCTGACTTCTAAACTTAGCTCTGTGAAGGCTGCTGGTCCTGCACTGCTTTCCCACATACCATCAGTTAGCCCTGAGTGGATTGCAGAAGACATTCTCCTTTGAGTACCTAATCAGAATCTGTAGGAGGAGTTTTAGGTGACATTAACTTCCTTCAGTGAGACAGCAAAGGTTTGGGCTGTGGGAATGAGACTAGGAAATATTGTTAACTGCTTAAATTCAGTCTCTTGAAACTTAGCAGGAGTCCTAGTGAGACTTAGGGGAAATGTTGAAAGCTGTTACTTCTACAAAGGTAGTGATCAAGGACAGGTGAGAGAATTGGTTGCAAAGCTCTGTTACAGAGAGGATAAGAGCTATATTTGGCTTGTGGTTGTTTTTTTTTTTTTTTTTTTTTGTTTTTAAGCGATGCTTTCTGGCTTCCATTTTGACCCGATTTTATCTAGGTTGGGGTGGCCTGGGAACCTAGATCAACAGTGATTTGACTCAAGAGTATGTGATACTTGAGCCAGAAGAGAGTTGTCCTCCGTCTAAAGGAGAATCACATACTTACACCTAAAGTCTTTTTATATTCTTAAAATACTTAAAAAGGAATCCGTCTCAGGATTTTGCAGATCCTGAGTACAAATTTCTCCATTACTAGCATCAGATTGATATTTGACCCCGTTCCCAGTTAGCCTTTTCTTAATATGTATAGTAGAACTTTGCCATGGTTAATCCAGCCCAGGATTCTGTTTTTGAGGGTAGGTCCAGAAAAGGAGTTAATCTCAATAACATTGATACCTTTTAATTATAACCCTCTAAAAAGTAAATTATATTCTGTCTTCCTGGGATAGTAAGTAGTATATCCATTAAGTGAACTTTTAAAAATACTTTTAGAGCTCAACTTCATTAATCTTGAGGGGTATTCCATTATAGTACTCAGCATTCTAAACTCCCTATCCTTTGCCTTTTCATGTTGAAAGCCCCATGACTTAGAACTTGGGGAAACCTGTCTTGCATTAACATGCACGCAATAGCTTCAGGACGAGAGAACTGGGAACTTGATACGGTTGACTCCTTTCAGAACAAAAAATAGGAAATCTGATGAGGCGGACCTTTTTGATATCTGAAATGGATATTAGTGTTAGTCTTGAAAGGGAGTGTGTATCTTTCAGCTCAAGATCTGCTTGTGTCTCGAATTTGAGATATGTAAATGGACAAGTTAGATTTTTTAGGATAGAGTGAAAAATCTATACCCAGACTTAACCTGTTTCCCTTTCCAAAGCTTTTATATCAGACTGCTTGAATATTTGTTTGGCTTCCATCAGAATGGTGGTTTTAAGAAAGGAGCTAAATTTGGGCAGAATAACTTTGTAAAGTCAAGGGTTCACATAGTTTTATTGCTGACAATGAGGGAAGAGGGCAAGGTGGCAGCAGCGTCTCAAGTCAGAAAATGGTACTCGCAAAAAAAAAAAAGAAAATGGTACTCGCAGACCCTCTCAGGTTTATATAAATGTTACCTTGAAATTCTCAGGTTAAAAACCAGTCCCAGACCCACTTGCAGGAAGCTGTATGTTTAGTATCACAGTTAGGGCTTTCCAGTCCAGGAATCTTTAGAAATGGTCTGTTATTTTTTTTGACCGCATGCTTTTATAGTCTGTGCATGGGTGTAATACGCTTTTGGTATAGTGATGTCTTGAGTATTTATTGCTTGATTCTGTCTTGATAATCCACAAGTGGATTGCATACCAGCCTTCACTGTATGGCATAAGGAAGACAGCTACATGAAGTAATAGTGTTAGGTATATCGGAGAAAAACAGCAAAATAAGATGGAAGTTAATGCTTTATCTCTTGTAAGGTAAGGTATATTCTGCTTGCTTACACAAGAACTATTGGCATTTTCTTTTTTTTCCTTAAACAAATGAAAAAAAGTTTTGGTTTTATTTTAAGAAATTTTTGTTTTAGTATACAGCATAGAGCTGATATTTTTTGTTTTGTAAAACTTTCATTAAAACTTGGAAATTTTTTGATAGCATTACTTGGTAGTTCAGCTACAACAGATCTTTAATAACTTTATAATGTGTATTCACGTGTGTTTTCAAATGTATGCTGTAGGAAATCACAAGTGCTTTGAATGCTGTGAAGTGTCTATAGCCAAATCAACCAACCTAAATAAGTGAGGTCTGGATGATTTTCTAGAATAATATTGAAAGATTGTGAGTTGTTCCAGACTTGCCATCTGAGCATTCATTCATTATCAAAGTATGCAAAACTTCCCAAGCCCCTTAACATTTAGCACATTTGAGGATGTCCGTGATGCTGAAGATGCTTTACATAATTTGGACAGAAAATGGATTTGTGGACGCCAAATTGAAATACAGTTCGCACAGGGGGATCGAAAGAGTAAGTACCCTTATGCCTAATATATGTATACGCATAATACGTCATTTTTAAACGGTGCTTAGTATCATTTTTTTTGGAAGTATTTGCAATTTGTTCGAAATCTAAAAAGATAATTTTTGAATAGATAATCTCACATACTTTGCAAAAAGGTAGAATGTGAAGATTAGAATGCCTGAAATACGTGTTTGGACTTTTTAAGAAAGTCGATCAATACTATCCGCTGCGGCATGTTTAAATTACTGGGGGTGGAATTAAAAGGGAAATAATTTGGAAAGTATTGGGTCTTTTCAGCCATTTCTCTTCATAAAGACCTTCACGGTATAATTGGCTATTTGTGTGGGTGCTTGTCTGTGGAAATGAACAGATAGAATTAAACTGAGAAAAATTGGGATCCCTGGGTGGCGCAGCGGTTTGGCGCCTGCCTTTGGCCCAGGGCGCGATCCTGGAGACCCGGGATCGAATCCCACGTCAGGCTCCCGGTGCATGGAGCCTGCTTCTCCCTCTGCCTGTGTCTCTGCCTCTCTCTCTCTCTCTCTCTCTGTATGACTATCGTAAATAAAAAAAAATAAAAAAAAAATTAAAAAAAAAATAAACTGAGAAAAATTATAGGTGAAACCTAGAATTGGTTTTATATTAGTCTGTGGTTTTTATTATGCAAGCAAACACCAGCTAACCAGGTGTAGGCTGCATGCTAATGAGGCAGGAGTACAGGCTTTGGAGTCATAGACCTGGGTTTGAATTTGGGCTCAACCAATTTGTTACCTTGGGCAATATATTAAGAGATGAATATAGCTGCTGAAGAAAGGAGGGGAATGGAAGTAGACGGTAACTGCCAGTAATTCTCTGGTTCTTGCGTTGGGTGGTGGGTTCTTGGGTATTCGCTGTGGTATTTTTATAAACACACAGACTTCTAGTACTTGATTCATAGACTTGAATGAGGTAATGGGAATTGAGGACTGTCCAGGGGTACTGGCTAAGGCATCCGATAAGTGCTCTTTTCCTCTTTTGTTGTGTTTTCTCAGAACCATATAACCAACCATTATCACTGCATTTTGATACTAAAACATTGTTCCTAGGCTACCAATAAGTATTTTATCATTGTTAATTGTATGCCTAAAAAGTGAAAAACGCACAGAATAATTCCAAATTATCATATGGGTCACTCATTCATATTTTAACTTGGAAATTTTAAAAATGTGGTAAATTTTCCTCATGTTGGAGTTAGTTGGCATATTTTTTGACAGCAAGCCAAATGGTGAAAAGGTCTGAAAAAAAATAGTTGGGAAGATACTTGAAAGTATAATTTTTATTTTATTATTTTTTTTTAAAGATTTATTTATTTATTTATTCATGACAGACACGGGGCAGGGTGGCGGGGGGCAGAGACACAGGCAGAAGGAGAAGCAGGCTCCATAGAGAACCTGACATGGGACTCGATCCCGGGTCTCCAGGATCACGCCCTGGGCTGCAGGCAGCACTAAACCGCTGCACCACAGAGGCTGCCCGAAAGTATCATTTTTAACATAAAACAGTATTTTGATACACTTCCTTAAAAACAAATCCCTCCTTCAAGATCAATAGTTGTATTAACCTTGATGCCGATTTAGGCGTATAAGGGAGACAAATAAGGAAAATTTTCCTATAATTTGAAGACTTACTATATAAGGTATTGACATTTCTAAATATTTGGTTCTGTTTATTTCATAGCTCCAAATCAAATGAAAGCCAAGGAAGGGAGGAATGTGTACAGTTCTTCACGCTATGATGATTATGACAGATACAGACGTTCTAGAAGCCGAAGTTATGAAAGAAGAAGATCAAGAAGCCGGTCCTTTGACTACAACTATAGAAGATCTTATAGTCCTAGAAAGTAAGTGTGATGTGTAGTACAGTAATATTCAGAAAAGATTTATGTTTGTTAGCTTTTAATTTTTTAATATTTTGTACACTTTAATTATATACATTGAATGCTTCATTGAAACTAAAAATATTTTAGTGCTTCATTTAAAAAGTTTTATGGCTCATTTTTTTTAATTAAAAATTTTAGAAGACTGTAAATAGACATTTGTCACTGTTTGCTCTTTCTGATGTACTTTTTAGCAGTAGACCGGCTGGAAGACCACGGCGTAGCAGAAGCCATTCCGACAATGATAGGTAAATAACTTTGCTTTGAAAAAGACTTAAATGTTTTTTCAATTTCAGAGTGAACTTTTGCTCTAAAAATAACAAATTTGATTAATATAGAATCTAATTTTTACTCTAATTGTATCTCTCCTCTGTTTTGAAAGATTCAAACACCGAAATCGATCTTTTTCAAGATCTAAATCCAATTCAAGATCACGGTCCAAGTCCCAGCCCAAGAAAGAAATGAAGGCTAAATCACGTTCTAGGTCTGCATCTCACACCAAAACTAGAGGCACCTCTAAAACAGATTCCAAAACACATTATAAGTCTGGCTCAAGATATGAAAAGGAATCAAGGAAAAAAGAACCACCTAGATCCAAATCTCAGTCAAGATCACAATCTAGGTCTAGGTCAAAATCTAGATCAAGGTCTTGGACTAGTCCTAAGTCCAGTGGCCACTGATAGTAAAAACCTTGATATTTTTAGGCATGTATCATTCATTTACTCATAGTTTGGTTTACTTAAATTATCAGGAATACAATGTTGCAATGATGCTTAAAAAAACACTTGTCAGTTTTCCCTGTACCAGGCAAATGGTTATAATTAAAATGATATGCTGTTGAGAAGCCACTCTTAAGAGTCCAGTTTGTTTAATGTTATGGGCAGCTACCAATTTGTGGTGTCTCTGTATATTTTTGTAAAGATTCTCATTTTTTATGCTTGAAGTATTGGTGAAAAGATGTTGGTTGACCATAATTTGCAACATTGTCTTATTAAAAAAACTTTCATATCCATATTTGGTAGAACTGTTAACCTAGAAATGTAGCTTGCTAATAAGATAGAATGATACAAAAGTGAAGTTGTAGTCACAGTACAACACTGATCAGACACATTTAGGTTCAGGGTGGACCTTTTTGTCTTGTTAAGATGTCTAGGCCCATGATAATAGTTCATTTAAGACAGAGCGTGGAATAGTTCTTTTGTTAACCCCGCTGTCTTGGGGAATGATGCCAACCGCTTTAAGTAGGATTGGGGAAGATTGAGTTTTTGACTGAAACGAGCCTTCACTACTTTTTTCTGGTTTCTTGAAGATTTGGAACATAAAAACATCGGAAGAACTCACCTTAAAATTTGAGCAGGTCAATGATGGCAGAAATCATTTTAAGGGGAAAAATGCTCTCATGTAGTTACTCTAAACTTTAAGGAGCATTGCTGGTCATATTGCTTAGTTTTCTTACTGCTATTAAAAAGCAGCAAGTAAATTGTTTCAAAGTAGGTTTTGTTTATGCATATGCAGAGTATAAAAACTGAATTTTGATGCTTCTAGCACCTGCCCTGTGCATTTGTATCAAAATTCGCCTACCACTTTATGAAGGAGGCTTGTTCTTCACACCTCAGCTTATTTCATGTGAGGCCAGTTGAAAGAGAACACTCCCATTCTAGGTGATTCTATGGTGCCATGAAATTTAAAATATATTGGAAAAAGAATTAAGAGTCACATCTGAGTTTGATTATCAATGTAGTACCTGGCAATAAATACCTGACTTTAAAAAAAAAAAAAAAACCTAACCATTTATAATTTCTAGCATTTCTCTGAGAGATCGTTTGGGGGGCAATAAAAGGGACATGTCCAATCTCATTTCAGAATAAAAGCTAGCATCTTTTAAAATTTTAGATTGCTTGCTTGCAGGTATAAGAAAGATTGTGGGAAAACGATTCCTTTTAGAGGATTACTTTTTTTCAATTTTGGTTTTAGTAATATAGGCCTTGCCTGTAAAAGAACAAAAGATGGTTTTTAAATACTGTTTGTGGAATGTGTTTAAAGGATTGATTCTAGAACCTTTGTATATTTGATAGTATTTCTAACTTTCATTTCTTTACTGTTTGCAGTTAATGTTCATGTTCTGCTATGCAATCATTTATATGCACGTTTCTTTAATTTTTTAGATTTTCCTGGATGTATAGTTTAAACAACAAAAAGTCTATTTAAAACTGTAGCAGTAGTTTGCAGTTCTAGCAAAGAGGAAAGTTGTGGGGTTAAACTTTGTATTTTCTTTCTTATAGAAGCTTCTAAAAAGGTATTTTTATATGTTCTTTTTAACAAATATTGTGTACAACCTTTAAAACATCAATGTTTGGATCAAAACAAGACCCAGCTTATTTTCTGCTTGCTGTAAATTAAGCAAACATGCTATAATAAAAACAAAATGAAGGAAATAATGATTAACTGGAATTATTATAGTTTTGAATGAAATTCTAAAATAACAGTGGAAACAATTCTGGTAGATTTAGGAATATTTTTAATCAGTGTTGCACTAGGCACAACTAGCTTTTCTTTGGAAATGATAGATCCTGCCAGAAAGATACATCCTTTATATACTACTTTAAAATTCCTTATGTAATAATGTCAGTTTCATGATTGCATATTAAGCCCCTTGGGTTAAATAATAGAGATTATTGGTAGTATTAATATAAGTATTAAAATGAAATTTGAGTCCGCTAATTGTAAGTTTATATTTTCATTATTGGATGGTCCAATACTGCTCTTCCCCATCCTAAACAAGATGTATTGGGCCTTATATTTATGGCTTGATTTAAAATACTTCTGCATTGAATGTCAGTGAGCAGTTAATATATTAAGTGATAACCACTTGGGGAAACTGGTTTAGGTATGTTATGGTTTGAATTCTAGCTACTATATAATGACAACAATTTTAACTGATACTTAGTATTTATGATGTGCCAGACACAGTTCTAAAAACTTGATGTGTTAACTCATTTACTTTTCATAAAACCTAGGAGAAAGATACTTTGAGTAACCCCATATCACAGATAAGGAAATTGAGACACAAAGGAAAGGCTGCAAAAGGCAGATCTAAGATTTGAGCCCAGGCCTAGTCCTTATTTATTTTTTTTAAATGGACTATAATTTGAGAAAACTAGATTGAGGAGATATCCCATTGAAATTGTTCAGTCTTTGTGTAGAAACAGAAGGCCTGATCTCATTTTTGTTTTTATTTATGTCACTTAAAATGATCCCCCCCCCATTTCCTTGAGAACTCTATATGTTACTTCTAAAGTGACATACCTAACAGCTTCAAAAGGACTAAATTACAGTTGAACCCATGATAGTTAGGATCCTACTCATACTTGATGAGGATCCTTACACAGTGCTTTAATTTTGGGCTACATAGTTCTACAATTATGGAGGATCTACTGTGTGTCTGGCACTGTTATCAATATTAGAGTAGGTCATATGAAGACTCAAGTGAAGACTGACACTTCACCTCTCTTTTTACTTAAGATCTCTCTGCATTTTGTTTTGTTTTGTTTTGAAGCCAAGTAAGCAAGAAGAAAAATGACAGATAATGCTTCAGTGAGAAAGGAAAGGTGCTACATAGAGTATGAGCTGTTAAGTTTACAACCCAGGGAAAAGACCTGGGAACTATTGTACTATTCTCTTGAAAATTTGGCCCAGTAAGCTGCTACATCCAGTTCAACTAACAAAATCCTGTATACCACAGAGAAGAATAAAGAAAACCAAACTGACAAACATCCTTCTTTTATTTAAGACCAAACTGCAGCTGGAATACCCAGTACAGTTCTGCTTACTACACTTCAAGAAAGATCTGAGAAAGCGGAAAAAGAACCAAAGAAGGGCAGTTCAAGCGACCAAAGGGTGGGTGGAAGGTGCTGCAGTATGAATACTGTACGAATATTTTGACTCTGGTCTGAAAAGATAAAAGAATGTTATCGAAACTACATGGAATAATTGAAGTCCCTTCAAGTTTGAAAGTAAGCATTTTAGGACAAATAAAAGGAAATTCAACTTTGTACTTGTGGAAACTAATCCCTAAATCTGAATAGGTTTATATTGATTCATGGGTAACAGGTCCATAATAAATGATTGGAAACTAGGATGTCTGACTATCAAGGAAGACAGCCATAGTCTCTCACAGTGCCTCTGTTGGTCTGTCTCAAACTGAATTGGGTGAGAAAAGGTATGGTCCAATATAAACTTTTTCTTGGTTATCTCTTAAAGTCAGTTCCATGTTCGCTATTGGCAAATCTTGCCTTTGTTTATTCCAGTGCCAGTGTTTTTCTGCTTAATGGTTTGCTTTGTTGGCATCTAAGTTTATTGACTTGTATGCCATGTGCAGTTTACATCTTCCTTACACTCTTTCCCAGGTAAATTCCAGTTCTGATACTTGACATCTAGCTAAGAGGGTCCATCTCTTCTCACCTCTATCCTAAGTCAGTATATTCAGCAAACATTTATTTACAGAGCCCTTACTGTGGGCAAAAATTGTTCTGGGTAATTGGGGAGAGAAATAGAAAATTCACTTATTTAATAAATGTCTACTGAGCACAATCTAGTGAATCATTACAGTACAGCCTCATTGTTTCGAGGTGTATTATTCGTAATTATTTTACACCATTCGTATCTTAACGTAATTATAAGACCCAGAATACTATCAAAGATAATTTTGTGGTTCTCTGACATTTAAAAGTATCCAGTATTTCTGTTTGCATCCCATTAATACAAATAATGAAAAAATGTTTTAATCTGTAATAAACTGATTTATTGTGCAGTGACTGTAATATACTAGAGTTATATTAAATTGTTAACTCTGCCTCCTCAAACACAAATTAGGCGATAATCCCAAAAATAAGTATTTAACTTTGCATTAGATATAAAGGAGACTCTGGGTGCTATAATTAGATTATTTTGAGGCAGACAGAGAGCTGTTATCCCAACTGATTTAGTATGTTCTGTAATTGAGAAAATGTTCACCAGATTATACTTTTTAGTGATTTACATGTACATTTTATAGGGGACATGTTCTGTGTATAGTGAATAAATAACTTTTATAGTATCACAAAAATGTTTTGGATTCCTTAGTTCCTTATTAGGATATGAAGTTTGTTATACATGATTCTTCATCACTCACATTTGAGTTTTGTCATGTTTCTGCCACATTTTAAGCTGCTTTCCGTGGGAAGTTACTCATCTAAAAATATGGAAGTGTTTGAGCCTTTATAAAAAAATTTGAAAATATTGCACATAACTACAGAAGATACGAAATGGAAGTATTTTTACCCGTTTGATGAAAAAACTTTTTGCAAACTTGCCTAATAACCACAGCGAGTAAGTGGCAAATCCTAGGTTGGAGTTAATGGTTTTTTCATGTGGTTCCTCTACTGCTGTTTTGTGCCTTTTTTTTTAAATGGGAAATTTTTTATAACTTAAAAAATAATATAATGGAATCTACAGTTCATGTAGAAGGAAGATTTAATAGATTTATGGAAAAATATATCAAAAGTTACTTTGTAATCTTCCTGAATGAAAAAAAGGTTCAATATAACCTGAGATCTCGCAACTAATTGTGACAGCCGGTCTCCATTCTGGCTTTCCAAATTTCAGTCTCCTTGTATTGCTTTTTTGACCATACTGTTGTTTACAAACTCCTGAGATACTTTGAAAAGGGGAAGCTATGACTTAAGACAGCACAAAGATAGTTGAGGAATACTCTATAAATGGTATTTCTACCAGGAAGTCAGAGCCGTTCTAATTGAGAAATGAAGAAAGCTGCCTATTTGTTTCATTCAGCTATTGACATCTTTAAGACATAGTTGCTATAGAAAAGTTTCTTTCTCTTGGGTTTTTTTCTTCTGCCCCCCTCCTCCAACAGTGTTATGTTTATTGCATTGTGTTTCTATGTATTCTCTAACAGTTGTTTCGCCCTATTAAAGTTGGGATTCTTTATTTGGAATAAAAAAGCAAGGCATGTAAATTCCTTTTATTGATAATTGACAGAGTAGCTTGTAAAGAAGTAAAAGGCCTTTGTGTCTAGTTTTTTGTAGATCCCGTCTCTGAACACTAGAGTGAAATAAACTGGTCTAGGAACCAAAAAATGTTGTGTCCCCTCCTCCCCTCTTTAGTTCTGCCTTCCAGGTTTGTGGCTGGGTAGGCCTTCCTCATCTGCATGAGAGGCTTTAGAGATGTACTTTGTCTCCTGTTTTACAGAGTAATTGCCAATGAGAATGCAATTAAAGAAAAACCCAAAAACCTTTGTTTTTTTTTTTTTTTTTCCTGCCTTGTGCTTGCTTTTGGAAATAGAATTTAACCAGATATTAAATGTAAAGCTAGGTCCTAGACCCAGATTTCATCATACTGTACACCATCATAAAGATGACAAATTTTAATTTCTAACAGTCTTAAGGCTACATGGCTGACTTCAGCCTTAGAGGATAGGTGGTTTCTCTTTACAACAACTTTTTGGTTCTCACAAGTACAAGAGTTTGGGAAATTCCTGTAGGCCAACTAAAACTGTAAGTAACTCTTCTGGGAGTGAGATGTTAGGATCATTAACCTTTTCCCTAGGTTATCCCTAGCTATTAAAAACTTTATGGTTAGTAAGCCTTTTGTACTTGATCAAGTCTGAACACTTCCCACTTGAGTCAATCCTAAGCCCAAAACTTAGTATATATATTGTATAAACCCAATGAAGTTTCAGTGCAGTTACAGAAAATTGAGTTTGACGATCCTTGGCGTTGTTCATAGACCTTACACTGGGAATATATAAAAAAAAAACTGGTTTTGGTTTTCTCCAAATCTGTTATTTGCTGTTTGCATGATAAAGGTAATGGCATTGCACTGGGGTTCACCACCTATTAAACTAGTTGAAGCCACCTCCCCCCACCCCCCCCAACTGAAACCAAGTATGGTTCTTGTGATGCCCGCCCCCCCCCCAAAAAGTTCCCTGGTGGAAATTATACTTTTATATAGAACATGCAAACACTGGGCTCCTGGGGGGCTCAGTGGTTGAGCATCTGCCTTTGGCTCAGGTCAGGGTCCTGGGATGAGTCCCACATCGGGTTCCCCACAAAGAGCCTGCTGCTTCCTCTGCTTAGGTGTCTGCCTCTCCTGTGTCTCATGAATCTCCTAAGTACTAAAACCCGACAAACACAAGGGTTAGTTTGAGGAATACTTTTTTTCTTTTTTTAATCTTTTTATTTATGATAGTCACACATAGAGAGGGGTAGAGACATAGGCAGAGGGAGAAGCAGGGTCCATGCATCGGGAGCCCGACGTGGGATTCGATCCCGGGTCTCCAGGATCGTGCCCTGGGTCAAAGGCAGGTGCTAAACCGCTGCGCCACCCAGGGATCCCCAGGAATCCTGTTTTTCTAGAAACCTCAGTCACCTTCAAATGTAGGAAAAGGAAGAGGCAGGTGATTGAACCTGCTTTGACTTGCCAATGAATCAGAAGCTTAGTAGTTTCTAAAGTGTTCTGTGGCCTTTTACTGTTAAGCCTACTTGGGTGGGGAGCTGTTGTAGAACTGTTGAACTGACCCAAATGTCTTTATCAGCAAATTGGTTACCTCTTAAACAACAGTACTTTCATTTTTCAGTTCAGTTAATTATGTGCATTCTAAAATAGTAAAGATAGTCATAACAATCTTTTATAAAATACAAACAAGCCACGGGGGGGGGGGGAAGAGGCAATTTTATTTTTTAATTTCATGCTTGAAATTCACAAACGTACATTAAGTACTATGTCAAGTTTAGGATAGCATTATTTGACTTGAGCAATATCACCTCAATCTAAGTTTAACTGGGGAAATACAATTTGGCCATTCTGCTTTAAAATGTCAAAAGGCCGCCAAATTAGAATAGGGCACTTACAATTAGAATTTTTAAATTGAGTCTCCTATACAGATTTGTAAGTTAATGTTGGATTAACTTATATTTAGGTAAAACATGTTATCAAGATATTATGCAAGAAATTACATCTTTTGCATTAATGGTCCCCTGGGTTGCACTTGGACTAGTAACAAAATATATACTGACATCATACACTAAACTATATTCATATTATAGATTACAAAAATTATTGAAAGCCAGAATGAATCTTTAAGGTTGGAGGGACCTTTAATAGTTTAATCTTTGGGCTTAAGAAAGAAAAATGAGTCCCATACTGCATCTCATATCTCTTAAAAATAGGAAGTGTTTTAGCAGCTTAAAACCTTTAGTTATATAAAACTTATTACACTAGGATTTACTTTGAAATATAGTTTACAACCAGATCAATTATACATACACTGGCACTTTAGCACAAGGGCAAACTTTTAAAAACAAATTATTTTGGACCTTTAAAATCAGGCCATAGTATAAAAACAGAGTCCATGGTCTTACATTCAGCAAATTCATACTAAAATATTCTATTTTTGTAGGATAAATGCCAACAAAACTTTACATATGCTACAAGTTTATTACATTTATTTACATGGCTCTTTCCTAAGGTACTTAAAACTTTCACATTATACAGCTCCCCACTTCAAGTAAGCTTTGCAGGGAACGATTTGAGACCAGATCACTGTCAGAATAGCTTATGCAGTGCTGTAATACAAAAATGTATTTTGAAAGCTACTCAGTGACCAAATACTGTTTCTGTAAGAAATGGTTTTGGTGCATTAGTTGGCAGACACCCACTGCATGAAACAAACGGCCATTGGGATATATGGTCTCCTCTAAATTAGATAGCCCCAGTGCCCTTTTCCACATTTCACCAGCATAGTTTTACAAAAATGCAACTATTCTCTAAGAAAAACTCATATTTTCTTTTTGGCAGTGCATCGGGTTGTTGTCATATTCCTGGTTTGTGTGTTTCTAGGACTTTAAACTGTTAAAAATATTCAACTACTCCAATCCCTGTAGGTCTAACTGGATGCTTATAATCAGATTCACTAGCTTCCAACAAGTAAATCTACTGATCCATGAATGATAATCTTAAATTAGTATTTGTGCCCAGCAGACCATAGGAAAAGTTGATTACCATTCCCCAAATTTAAATTTGACAGGTTTCATTTAAGAGTTAATCGAGAACACAATATCAAGTACAATTATCAATAATTTAGTTATTTCAAGTTGCACTGATACTACCATTACATCACAGTGCACACTACATGTAAAACAGTTAAGATGAAATCTAATAATGCTTTCTACATTAATTAGCAATTTTACAGATTAATTCCCTAGTGAATTTGGTCTGAAACAAGTGACAACTACCCTTAAATAGAACTAAATTTAAACATTAGTATTTTATCTTATTTTATACCTGTACTTTAAGTAAGGTTTTAAGTTGAAATGTCATTATTTCCTTATCAGAAGGATTAAAGGAAACTGGAACCCAGTGGCTTGGTGGTTTAGGAAGAACACTTGGTGATGGTGGCTCACTAAACTTGGCTCCAGCGTAGTTCTGATTAGTTTGAGACTTAAAAAGTAAAGTGGGACTTGATAAGCTAGAGTTCCAGTTTTGATTATTTGGAAAATTTTTGTTCTTCCCCCCGTTTTGCATGGCCTGCCGTGCAGCTGCTGAGGAGGTGTAAGTGTGTCCTCTTTCTTTTTTCTTGTGAACAATCTTCATTTGGGAATTCTGATCCTTGGTCTTCTGTCTGTTAAGCTGTTGCTGGTTCTTACTAACGTTTCTCGACTGAGGGGCTGGAATGTTATACCTCTCTCCACCACCCATCTTCAGCTTCTTTGTCACCTACACATAAATGGAAAGAAAATATTGAGCAAAATTCCAGTAAGGAAAGTTCAAAACTTGAGGAAGGTTCTGTAGCCCCAAACTTGTAACTCCAGAATTCATTTTGGAAAGTATCAAAACTGCTCTTCGCCTGCTTTAACTTCACTGTGTATTCACACTTCATTGTATGCACAGCCTTTATTACCTTCTTTATAAAAGGCTTAATCTGAAAATCTGAACAATCACTTTAAAAATAAGGACAAGAGGTTTGTTCCAAAACATGAATTTTGTACCTTTCGGTCTGCTTTTCGGATCGCAGGATTTCCACCACCTGTCCCCTTCCTTGCTGCCAAGCCCAGGATAAGAGATGTTGCTTTCTGCCGGATCCTTTCCTTTGTCTCAATACAGAAGTTTTCATGGGCCGATCCGCCGAGTTCAGCCTAGGAGCTGAGGCCAACATCGGAGTCTCCTCAGCACACAAGCTTGAGAGAAGTCCTAGCTAGGAAAGTAGAGATCACTCCGTTACTTCAACTCAAAAAACCTGGGGGGAAAGGGATGGTTCTTATTTACTCCAGAAATACAGTTAAGAATGGCCGCTTCGTGAACTAGTTAATAAGATAGAAAATCCTCTTGTCCCTGTCCTCCGTGGAGTCCGCCCAGCCCGGCGACCCGGGGGCGGGGGCGGAGTCTGCAAGTGTCCCCACGAGTCACATTCCCCCCCGGGGAGGGTGGGGGCTTTCCTGTCTCACGGATCCTGGCACCAAAATGTTCAAACCAGGGAAGCATCAGCTTTTACAGCCACTCCCAAGAAACCGGCTGAAAAGGAGTTTTCCTCAAGAGACCACGTTTTTAAAACCCACTTCGAATATTCCCATCTTGCGGCCCATCACGTATCGCAACACGTCGACGTCACGGAAAGTGTCCCCCTTGAGTTACGAACTCTCGGCTCCTCCCCATCTTCAAGTTTTCGCAAGCCACAACCTAAGCCAATTTCCCATCTCGACTACACAGAAAGGCCCGGGGCGAGCACCACGCACTCCCGGTTCCACCCCTATCCCAAGGAAGCCGGGGACCCAACCAACGAGCCCCTTCTTTCGGGAAGGGCAAGGGCCTTGCAGACGATTGCAACAGCCCCCGGGTCAGTCGGCGCGCGAGCCCAGAAGACTCGGGGCCTCCGGGCGGCCCCCGCGGCTCCCCGGCCGCCCGCGCCCGCCCGGGTCCCCCGGTCTCGCCGCCTTCCCCCAACAATGGGGAGCGCGGCCGCCAACATGGCCGCGCCCGCGGCGCCGCCGCCACTCACCGACTTCAAGCTCGGGACGGCGGCGGCGGCGGCTCCTGCTCGGCGGCGAAGCCCCCCTCCCCTCCCAGGGAGAGACGACGCACGGAGCGAACGAAACCCACGGGCACCGACGAGCTAGCTGCTGACCACCTCGGCGTCCGGACTCGACCTCCTCCTTCCGCCTCTACCGACAAAATGGAGGTGGCTGCGAGCGCCGAAGCGGGGCCGGGAGGCAGGGCGGCCAATCAGCACGCGCCGCCGCGCCGCCTGGCCAATGAGAGGCGCGCCGCCGCCTGTTGCTGGGGCCGGCCGGGCCGAGGGAGGAGAGCTTGCGGCCGGGTTTGAAATCCTCCCCGAGAGGTGCATGTCGGGAACAACTGCTGCGGCCCCGGCCGCCGGCCGGCCCCCCGCGCGCCCCGCCCCGCCCCGCCCCGCCCCTCCGCCCCTCCGCCCCTCCGCCCCTCCGCCCCCGGGGTCGGTCCGGCCCGCGCGCGCTGGGCGCGGGGGAAGGGGCGTCAAGCGCCCTCCTGGCGGAGCGGGACCGAAGCGGCTCGGCTCCGAGGTGGGCTCGCTGGGCCCCGTGACCGGGTTTCACCGACAGAAGATCCTCAACAAAGTTGCCTCCCGAGCGCCGGCCGCCGCCCGCTCCGCCGCTCTCGCCCCCTCCTCCTCCTCGGTCGCGAGAACGTCCCTCAGCCCCCCCGCCCCGGCCGGCGCCCGTCCTGCGGTTCCCCCTGGGGTCCCCCACCCCGGCCTCCTCGAAACTTTGCGAAGGGGCCTCGCCTGTGAAGGCGATTCCCGCACATGCGCGGATCGAGTCAGTGGCTCCTTTGTGCCCCCGCGGGCCCCTCGCTTCGGCTAGAGCCCTCGGCCGGAGCCCTCGGAGTTAGGGCGACTGCGGGTCCCCGCGCCCGCCCCCGGGCCGCCGGGGGGCGAGGCCCGCTGCTGGTGTTTGGGAACACGGTATCTCACGCGTTGTAAGTGCGCGGGAAAGGCAGGGGCGCCCGGGTGGCTCGGTGGTGGCGCCTCTGCCTCCGGCTCGGGTCGTGACCCCGGGCTGCGCGGATCCAGCCCTCCCCGCGGGGAGCCTGCTTCTCCCTCTCCCCGTGTCTCCGCCTCACTCTGTTTCTCATGAATGAATAAGTAAATTTTTTAAAAAGAGATAAAAGTTTGTTGAGGGAATGAGGCTCCCGTAGTCCCCTTTCCTCCCAGGTGTAAGTGGAAGGGGTATGGGGCGGGGGGCGTAAAGCTGTAGTTCCCTTGATTATTCCAGCGAGGCCCAGCCAAGAGGGAAAGGCAACTTCTTTGGGGTACATAGATAAGCAATCCAAAATGGGTGTTTTAAAAGAGAATGCCAGATTCTATGAACATACGAACATGTTTATTGCAGGACTTACACTTTTTATAAGTTTCACATAATTCATTTTTTTTTAGTCTGCAAGTGTTTTGCTACCACCATCCCCCACCCCTGTGTCTTTCTAGCCATGGACCTTATGTTTTCTTAAGAAAACTTATTTAAGCTACTGCATTTTAAAAGAGAAGTTTGTTAATCAAATTAATTTGGTAAAAAATGTAGAAGAGATATTTTTGAGCATGGGGCTTTCTGGTGCTAATCATATTATAGTCAAATAAGATGTGTATAATAAGCACCTGCTAGCTTACTGAAAGTGTAATCTGTTTCCTAAAATCTCAAGAAGCTAGCTGGCTTAGACATCTGGCCAGGTGGCCAGATGGCCAGGCTGTATTTAATGAGTTCCGACTTTCAACTTCAGAAAAGATCCTTACTTTGATTTTTTTTTTTTAATATAATGGTTTGTAAAGTGAAAAGTCTGGTTTCAGTCTGAGCACTTTATTTTTCTGATTATTCTTAATAGCTAAGATTTATTAAATGCTAAATGCTTATCACTGCATTTTACATATTCTATCTCATTGAATATTTATCTCTAAATGCATTCTTTTTTATATAAAATCAATTAGCCAACATACAGTACATCATAAATTTCAGATGTAGAGTTCAGTTATTCATCAGTTGCATATAATACTCAGTGCTCATCACATCACCTGCCCTCCTTAATGCCTATTACACTATCCCCCCACCCCCTTCCCGTCCAATAATCCTATTTGTTTCTTGAAGTTAAGAGTCTCTCATGATTTGTCCCCATCTCTGATTTCTTCCCGTTCAGTTTTCCCTCCCTTCCCCTATGATCCTCTACACTCTTTCTTATATTCCATATAGGAGTGAAATCAAATAATTCTCTTTCTCTGATTGACTTAACACAATACTCTCCAGTCCAGTTCATCCACATCGATGTAAATGGTAAGGTTTCATCCTTTTTGATGGCTGGGTAATATTTCATTATGTATATATAATATTCCACATATATAATATATATTATATTCCATTTTATATATATATATATGTATTCCATTGTTATATATGTCAATCAATCACATCTTTATCCATTCAACTGTCAATGGGTATCTGGGCTCTTTCCACAGTTTGGCTATTGTGGACATTGCTGCTATAAACACTGGGGTGCAGATGCCCCTTGAGATCACAACATTTGTTATCTTTGGGGTAAATAGTTCAATTGATTGGTCATAGGGTAGCTCTATTTTTAACTTCTTTTTTTTTAAGATTTTATTTATTCATGAGAGACACAGAGAGAGAGGCAGAGACACAGGCAGAGGGAGAAGCAGTCTCCATGCAAAGAGCCCAATGTGGGACTTGATCCCAGGACTCCAGGATCATGCCCCAGCCCAAAGGCAGGTGCTAAACCACTGAGCCACCCAGGGATCCCTATTTTTAACTTCTTGAAGAACCTCCATACTGCCTTCCAGAGTGGCTGCACCAGCTTGCATTCCCACCAACAGTATAAGAGAGTTCCCCTTTTTCTGTATCCTTGCCAACATTTGTTGTTTCCTGAATTGTTACTTTTGGCCATTCTGACTGGTGTGAGGTGGTATCTCATGTGGTTTTGATTTGTATTTCCCTGAGGATGAGTGATGTTGAGCATTTTTTCGTGTGTCTGTTGGCCATTTGTTGTCTTCTTTGGAGAAATGTCTGTTCATGTGTTCTGCCCATTTCTTGACTGGATTATTTGTTTCTTGGGTGTTGAGTTTGATAAGTTCTTTATAGATCTTGGATACTAGCCCTTTATCTGATATGTCATTTGCAAAAATCTTCTCTGATTCTGTAGGTCTAATTCTTTTGTATTCATATCATCCAAACATCTTTTAAATTCATCCCTGCTACAGTCCCACCACATCTTCTTTTTTCTCTCTGCTTTCCACCTATTTGATTGCTTTTTTAAAAAATTTATTTATTTAAGAGAGAGAAGGGGTGGAGGGACAGAGGGAGGAGGAAAAAGGGAGAATCTTAAGCAAAACCTCCACATCCAGTGTGAGCTCCTTGAAGGGCTCAATCTCATAACCCTGAGATCATGACCTGAGCCAAAATCAAGAGGCTGACACTTAACTGACTGACCCACCCAGGCACCCCTGACTGTGTTACTTCAAAACACACACACAGGGGATCCCTGGGTGGTGCAGCGGTTTGGCGCCTGCCTTTGGCCCAGGGCACGATCCTGGAGACCCGGGATCAAATCCCACGTCGGGCTTCCGGTGCATGGAGCCTGCTTCTCCCTCTGCCTGTGTCTCTGCCTCTCTTTCTCTCTCTCTGTGTATGACTATCATAAATAAAAAAAATAAAAATAAAAGCTTTAAAACTAATGTTTAAAACACACACACACACACACACAACAGAACAACATAGTTCACTGGCTCCAAATTGTATTACAGAATTCAGTCGCCTTGCTCTCTGATTGTTACCTGTGTAAACACACAAGTAGTATCTTGGGACACATAAATAATACACACAGTGTATTGGATACTTTCTCTGCCTCATTATTTTTTTGCTTATCTGCACAAATTATTGAGTAGGTGCTATTTTGACCTCTACTGTGCAGATGAGGTCCATAGAATTTAAAGCTGAAAGCCACACGCTAAGACTCCGGAGCCCAGGCTCTGTGTTCCCTGCAGCACGTGTGTCTGAATCACCTCTGTCTTCCCCAGTGCCTGAAAGGTGCCTTGCCCAGAGCAGCACTGAGTGGCTGTTGCTGGGACTGCCAGGACTGGTTGGGCAGTATGAAGCCTTCATTTCTGCCCAGTTAGAGTCAGGCTGTGCTGTTAAAGCCTTTCCCATGTCCCAGACTCCCAGCAGCCCCTCAATATAGTTCCAGCCTCATCCCTCATTAATATTTACCAAGTGCTATTTACCAAGTGATAACAGCTCAGAACTGGAGAGCAGGAGCCAAAAATATACCCTCTTCAGGACATCTGATGCAGCCTCTACCTGTCCCCTGCCAGTCTTTAAAGTCAGTTCCACCAACACAATCCAATTAGTGGTTTTCACCGGGAAAATGGTGATCCAAAGCAACAGCTCTCAGATTATAAATCAGCCACCAATGCCGAGAGCCAAATACATAATAAATATGTAGGTGTTTAATACAAAACCTTAATTTAACCAAGATTTATCTGGTGCCTTCTTTGAGGCAGGCACTCTGCCAAGCCCTGGGGATACAATAGTGAATGAAGCTCCATCCCAGCCATAAAAGAATTCAAAGGCTCTTCCCTTGACAATTTATCAGAAAAGAAAGCTGGGTGTCTGGGGAGATTGATTTCCTCAGTTCTTCCCCTGAGAGTCAAGGACAGACCATGCCAACTGTAAACACAAAAGTTAACCTGCTAACATTGGAGTTTGGGTTACAGACATTGTACCGGGGATCCCTGGAATGGGGGTCAGGGGTTGGGATTGGCACAGTCACTGAAATCCTTTCCCTGGAGGATGCATTTTGAATTATGTATCAGTGGGAGCCAAAATCAACAACATCTGTTGCATAAAGTTTACCTTCCTAATCTGTAAGTACAGTGGGACAAAAAGGTGTTTCAGAATGTTTGGCTTTGCAGGATTGGCAAGTTGCAGGCTGATACTTGTATTTTAAACCCCAATGAGTGGCAAGGCAGTGAGGTAATCACGCAGGTTTGGCACACTTTTCAAACACATCTCTAGTTGGACCCACTGGCATTCAGGCTGGATCATATATCTCCCAGTTTGCTGGACCCAAAAAATAAGCTGGTTTGGTTATTTATCTTCCTCAGGCTCATCTGTGAATTCAGAGCACAACTTTGAATGCTTGCAGGTCCATCAGTTGGCTAATTTCAGCTGGGAGAAGCAAGTTCTTGGAACTTGCCAAAAAAGCAAAGTGAGACACCTGCCTGATGTTTTGATGTGCCTTAGGGCTCTAATCTTGTTGCCAAACTGGTATCAAAACACACACCCCTCCACACTCCGTGAATATGTTTCCTGGGGAAGCATCTGCTGTGCATTCCCCAGTTGCTCACACATTCCCGAGCTGTTGCGAATCAGTTCTCAGCCATTACAGCCAATTGGGTGTAATCATGAAATGGGGCACAGGAAGTCAATGCTAAACTCCCACACTTCTGTGACTCTCCCCCAGGGCTTCTCAACCTCTGGGACCTTTGAAGGATTCTGATGCATGGACTCCCACTCCAGAACCAGAATCTTTGAGGATGGCTACTTGGGTGCTCCAAGTCCAGCTGATGGGGGACAGAACATGCCACTCCCAAATCTGCCCCTGTGACAGAAGGATTATTTTGAACTAAAGGCACTTGAAAAAGAGCAGGTGCAGAAGATCACCCTGACCTCTCCTCCCTTTTTCTTCCTGGAAACAAAAAAAGAACATTCCCGTGTGAAAGATGTCCTCCTACACCAGGAGGAGAGAAACATTCTTATTACCAGAGGGGGGGCCGGAGGCCGAGAGAATTCTGTACAAACAGACTTGGTCAAAATAACTCTTACCTTTCTTTAGACCCCCCACATACTTTGCTTTTTCACAACTGTATCCCTTGTTCAACGTATTATAAAAGCATTTAGGCTTTGCCACGTCTTTGGGTCTTCATTTCCTTATCACTTAAGATTTATATGAACTAACTCTGTGTGTTTTTCTCCTGTTAATGTCTCCTGTCAATTTAATTTTCAGGCCAGAGATCCTAAGAAGGGAGAAAGAAGGTTTGGCTTCCCCTCCACAGCTGATTCCAATGTCTCACTCTGGTCGAAAACTACTGCTCTAATTGTTCCTAAGAGGAATCCCCTGCCACGGGAGTGTATGTATGAAGGGCACCCCCTTTTGTCCTCTGTAATCCTCAAAGGTGCTGATTATACCAAACAATCACAAGAAGCGAACACCCAGAGTTCTTTAGATCAGCTTTTTAAAGGGTTCATCACACAGGTGGACTCCCAGAGTCTACCATCAGTTCCCTTGCTAGTCTGTTGATCCGAGCTGTCCATTTCTTGGCCCACTCTAAGGTCAGAGTTCTCAGTACTCCAGGCCAGAAGCTGTGTGGACTGAAGGACAGGCAGCAACCTTGAGAAGAACAATCCAAACAGGCTCAGGCTGGCATCCCGATTGATTGATTGATTGATAGCAAAAGGAAATGCAGGACACCCAATACTGAAAAAAATAGTGGAACATGGGAGCCATCCACTTCTATGTAAGACCATGGCTATATCTGTCTCCCAACTGTTCACACCCATGGCACGAAGAAAAGTTACACTATTCTGTGGTATCATGGAAGGCTCCAGAGAGAATCTAATGAGCTATGAAGCCACTCAAGCTCCCACCATGTATTCTTAGCCTGACAATCTCTCAATTCCTATAGTCATTTTTCTCTTATGCTGCCTTGTATTGCAGCGCCTCGCCTTTTTAGCATATTCCAAGTCTACACGAGCAGAGTTTTGTTTTTTGTTTTTTTCCACATTCATTATCTCACTCAATCTTGGCATTAGCTCCATAGGATAATAATGCCCCCAGGATAGGCATTATCACCACGCTATAGGTGAAGAGACAGGCCGGGAGAGACTTGTTCAGGTCTGCAACAAAGATCTTCCATCTTAAACACTTTTACTGGAGTTTTTCTTGTTATGTAAGTGACACCTCTTAGCTATAGAAAAGGCAGATCAATAACAACCCCAACGACAAAAAATCACTCAACATCTTACCTCCCAGAGAGAACCGCTGTTAAGGTTTTGAGGGAATGTCCTTCCAGTCTTTTTTTCCAAACTGAGAGCCAGTGCGCAGTGGGAAGAGCACAGACTCCAGAGGCTGCCCACAGTCTTATCTCTGCAGCTTACTAGCATATGGTATTAGCAGACTTCTCAACCTCTCCTCCAAGAAAATGAAGTCATTTTCTTCATCTGTAAAAATGGGGATAATAACATCACCTAACAGTCAGTGTAAGGATTAAACAAATAAACATCTTTGAAATACTTAGAACAAGTACTTAGAAAGCACTCAATTAGTCAGCTTTTTTTTTTTTAATTTTCATAAGAATGGTAATAGGGGGGCACCTGGGTAGCTCAATGGGTTAGATCCCAGGGTCCTGGGATGGAGTCCTCAGCAGGGAGCCTGCTTCACCCTCTCCTCCCTGCTCATGCTCTCACCCTCTCTCTCTCTCTCAAATAAATAAATAAATAAATAAATAAATAAATAAATAAATAAATAAAATCTTTAAAAAAATGGTAATGGTAATAAATGATATACATTCTTTTGTTACCTTTTAATTTTTATGTTTTAAAATCAATATATTGCAAACCTGTTTCTGTGTATATATATATATATATATATATATATATATACACACACACACACATACCTACATCACTAACAGTATTTTATGTTATGACTATCATTAATTTCACCATCCCTGGCTGTTGTTTCCAATTTTTTGCTATTGTATGCTGAGCTGAATATCCTTATAGATAAATCTCTGTTTTCTTAAACAAATTTCCTTTAACTAAATTCCAGAGGTAAAACTACTCTGGTAAATATATAGCTAAGACTTGACTTTCACCCCCACCATTAGGGTGTAAAAGCCATATCTCAGGTTTCTGGGTCTAAAGATACTATTCTCCCTCCTGGTTATTTATAGCTGCTTCTCTAACATCAGATCTGCAAGAGGAGTTGGTGAATTAACATAGAAAAGAATTAGTAAAAATAAATTAATTAAAATAAAATTTTTTAAAAGAAAAAAGAAAAGAATTAGCCAAAGGAATTTTAAAAGTTTTTTAGGGACCACAGGTTATGCATTGCTCCCAGTTTTAAGAAATATGCTTGTGGGGGCACCTGGGTGGCTCAGTGGTTGAGCGTCTGCCTTCAGCTCAGGGTGTGATTCCAGGGTCCAGGATCAAGTCCCACATTAGGCTCCGAGGGAGCCTGCTTCTCCCTCTGCTGGTGTCTCTGCTTCTCTCTGTGTGTCTAATGAACAAATAGATAAAATCTTAGAAAGAAAAAGAAAGAAGAAAGAAAGAAAGAAAGAAAGAAAGAAAGAAAGAAAGAAAGAAAGAAAGAAAGAAAGAAAGAAAGAAGAAAGAAAAGAAAGAAAGAAAAAGAAAGAAAAGAAAAAGAAGAAAAGAAAAGAAAAGAAAAGAAAAAGAAAAGACAAGACTGTGGGACAGCTCTTTCTTCAGGGAAACTCTGTTAGTAAGATCTACTTATTTATCACAGTTGATAAACGCCATAACTGTCAATTTGACAAACGTCTGGACTTTTCCACTGACTCAGGCAGGCCAATGTTTGTCCTCTGGCTGACTGTTTGGGTTTGGAAAGAGACCATGAGTCAAGTTGCTGTGGCACAAGAGACTGTGTTTTGCCACAACAGAAAAAAACACACAGATTGACATCATTTTAATAGATGATTAAAAGTGCATAGCTGAGTTGACTCCATGGAGTGACTCCCACTCCTGAAAACAGCAGGCACCAAGGGTGTCTCCACTAAACCCACAGCTTCTAAGGCATGGAGAGAAGAAACCTGCCCAAGGACAGTCTCATCTCTTGATTCCAGTTCACCATGGCTGAATTTTTATATCACCTCCTTGTCTTTAACTGATAGACCTTTATTTTATTTTGTTATAACTGTTACCTTGCAGGATTCAAAGATATGATCTTTTGCATATTCTAAATGTGCCCCTCATTAGATAATAGTATTAGGTATTGAGCACTTTACTATGAGCAAGACACTGTGCTAAGCAATTTATATGCATTATCTTATTAAATTCTCACCATAACCCTACTGAGGTCAGTAGTATTTCTAACCCCATTTAACATATGAGAAGACTGAGGCTCAGAGAAAAAGGTTAAATGATTTGCCCAAAGTCACACACAGAGAACTCAAACCTGGGTCAGCGTGATACCAAAACCTCTGCTCATAACCACTCTGCTGCACTGCCATAGTCTCCAGGGTCCATATTCCTAGGAAAGACTCAGAATACAGCTTGCTGTGGAATGGGAGGTAGCCACATTTCTAAGTCCAGGCTATCAGCAGCCCAAAAAACTTGCACATATATTCTTAATGCCTTAAGAATTATTATTATATTATTTTCAAAGACATCCTGCCCACAAAGGTGCATTTTGCCCACAAGGGTACATCCTGCCATGAAAGGATACTGCTAAGAGGCAGGAGCTGAAGGAGCTTCTGCAGCAGTGAGCCTAAGGTGGAACACTGCCCCCTGCAAAGAAATTGCAACCAGGTGAACTCCTGAGGAGGAGTTGCTGAAGAACCCCCAAAAGTGCCCATGATAGAAAGAGACAGCTTTACGTATCCATCAAGCTAAGAAAACACAGAATCATCTGACAAAATTTTTGGTCCAGAAAGAAATTTCTTGCTGACCATTACCCTTCTTCCCTGACTGCAATTCCACAGATGTCAAAAACTATAGTCAGCCAGTGGCAGCAGGGAGAACAGGAAGAGCAGAGCATTCAGCTAATTGTGAATCAAGTTTAGAGTTCTGATTATCACCTCGGCTGACCAATTTTAATCATTGAATCAAAATTGAGTTTAAAATTTAAAGTGCCTGGGACGTCTGGGTGGCTCAGTGGTTGAGCGACTGCCTTTGGTTCAGGTTGTGATCCCGGGGTCCTGGGATCAAGTCCTGCATCATTGGGCTCCACACAGGGAGCCTGCTTCTCCCTCTGCCTGTGTCTCTGCCTCTCTCTCTGTGTCTCTCTGTGTCTCTCATTTTTCTTTTAAAAATAAAATTTAAGTGACAAAAATAAATTTAAAGTGACATTTTCAAAATATATAAAGAACTTATCAAACTCAACACCCAAGAAACAAATAATCCAGTGAAGAAATGGGCAGAAGACATGAACAGACAGTTCTCCAAAGAAGACAACAAATGGCCAACAAACACATGAAACAATGCTCAGCATCACTCATCATCAGGGACATACAAATCAAAACTACAATGAGATACCACTTCATACCAGTCAGAATGGCTAAAGTTAACAACTCAGGAAACAACAAATGTTGGCAAGGATGCAGAGAAAGGGGAACCTTCTTACACTGTTGGTAGAAATGCAAAGTGGTGCAGTCACTTTGGAAAATAGTATAGAGGTTCCTATTCTGTAATCCAGTAATTGCACTAGTAGGTATTTATCCAAACGATACAAAATAGTGATTTGAGGGGGCCCATGCACCCCAATTTTTATAACAGCAATGTCCACAATTGCCAAAATATGGAAAGAATCCAAATGTCCATCTATGGATGAATGAATAAAGAAGAGGTAGTATAAATATACAGTGGAATATTACTCAGCCATCAAAAAGGATGAAATCTTGTCATTTGCAATGATGTGGTTGGAAATAAAGGGTATATGCTAAGTGAAATAAGTCAGAGAAAGACAAATACCATATGATTTCACTCATGTGGAATTTAAGAAACAAAACAGATTAACATAGGGGAACAGATGGAAAAGTAAGATAAAAACAGAAAAGGAGACAAACCATAAGAGATTTTTTTAAAAGATTTTATTTATTTATTCATGAGAATACACAGAGAGGAGAGAGAGAGAGAGAGAGAGAGAGAGAGAGAGAGGCAGAGACACAGGCAGAAGGAGAGGCAGGCTCCATGTAGGGAGCCTGACGTAGGACTCGATCCCAGGTCTCCAGGATCACGCCCTGAGCTGTAGGCGGTGCTAAACTGCCGAGCCACGGGGGCTGCCCCACCATAAGAGATTCTTAACTCTGGGGAACAAACTGAGGGGTGCTGGAGGTGGGAGTGAGAGGATGTGGTAATTGGGTGATGGAGATTAAGGAGGGCACTTGATATAATGAGCACTGGGTGTTATATGCACCTGATGAATCACTAAATTCTACATCTAAAACTAATACTACCTTGGTAACTAACGAATTTAAATAAAAATTTTTTTAATTTTTGAAATGACCACAGGATTTTATAACTGAAAAGAAAGAGAAAGAGTGGTAATGAAAATATCAACTAGTTTTGTAACACACAGCATCCAATCAGACATTTGATTAATCAACCTTAGACAGCCAGTAGGGCCACCAGGAACATACTGGTTAAATGTCAGCCCTCCCTAGAAGTAAGAAAAAAAATCACCTCACCCTGAAAATGGATGTTTTGTCCATTGGCTAGAAAAGGATTATCAACCTTAAGCATATTTAAATGAAGAATAGGGGCACCTGGGTGGTTCAGTCAGTTAAGCGTCTGACTCTTGGTTTCGGCTCAGGTGGTGATCTCATGAGTCATGAGATTGAGCCCCCTACAATGTGGAGTCTGCTTGAGATTCTCTCCCTCTGTCCCTCCCCCCACTCATGTTCTCTTATTCTCTTTCCCTCTCAAATAAATGAATAAATCTTTAAAAAAGAATTTTGTGGTGACTGGTTGGCTCAGTCAGTAAAGCATGTAACTCGATGTCTGGGTTGTCAATTCAAGTCCCACATTGGGTACAGAGATAACTTAAAAAATAAAATCTTGAAGAAGGAGGAGGAGGAGGGGAAGTTGTTTATGCAACTAGTAACAGACCATTAAATGTTTGAACCAACAATTAATAGAGCTGAGGGGAAAAGGACATTTCCACAATAATCATTTGAGACTTCAATACCACACTCAATAATGGATAGAACAACAAGATAGAAGATGAGTAAGGAAATAGAGGATTTGAACAATATAATAAATGAACCAGGTCTAATAAATATGTAGAGGACACTCTACACAACAATTATAGCATATACTTTCTTCTCAAATGCACAAGGGACATTCTCCAGGATAGACCATCTTTTAGGTCACAAGTTAAATCTCAATAGACTTAATAATACAGGTATCATTCAAAGTATCTTCTCTGACCATAGCAGGATGATGTTAGAAGTCAATAACAGAAGGAAAACTGGGAAACTCTCAAAACTGTAGAAATTTAAAAATAGTTTTTTTAGCATGCAAAATTTATTTCAACTGTACATAACAGATGTCCCTTTTTTTAATGAAACAAACACTTCATTGCCATATGCAACTACTAACAATAATATGCACACTGTACAATA